GTGGGTTGGATCAGTGCTTAACATCAGAACTGGCCGTTTGTCCATCCATTTTATATTACTTAAGGAGTTGTTCTGTGTACCCCAAATTTCTCCCTTTTCATTTTTTTATGTACCGTTTTGGGAATATCTCTTCTGTTGGACCTGGGGGTTCCATAATAAATTATCTGTTTTTTGATTAATGAAATGGCTAAAGGTAAACACGAGTAATTATTATCAGCATACAAGTAGTAGCCATTTTCGAATTCAACATGTTTAAGAAGATCATACACTATCTGCTCAAACTGAGCAGTGTTGTTAGTATAACCATCCATTGTACATAACTTATATAATTTAATTCCATACGTGTGTGTTTTATTGGTAGATATTGCTTTATTTGCAGTCTTCCTTGATAAGGTACTATACTTTCATCGACTACCAAAATCCGTCCTAGAGAATGCAGCTTGAAAATTTTTATTCAGTACTTTTAAAACTTCCCCTAACTTATAGAGCCGATCATCTTTATTACACTGCTGATTATTACAAAAATGAATGCAAAGCATCAGTAAAAGGAACCTGTCTCGGCTCATGGTAGTCCTAATAAACTCATTCCTGTACATGGGATCTTTCGACCAATATAAATTTACCATCAACTAATTCCATACCTATACATATTAAAAAAAAAATGTTTCAGTTCGGCTATATCCCAGTAACGTATACGTGATTTTGATTGATGTATATTACTCAACATTTTCCGAGCAAATCTATTTGTTTCAGTGAAAATTATGCTGTAAAAGATCATCAGCGAATCTGTAACAAATAAGAGTTGTTATCAACAGGTCCTCGAAGACACTTCTTCTCATGACCATATAACCTATGTAGGGTCATACGTCGCCATGTTACCAATTCCAACGGTAACTTAAACATCCTAATTTGCAATTCTAAATAATGTAAAACAACTATAAATTTGTAACATTTAAAGGGTTTTGACCCATATATTTTGGTGGCTCATAGCATGTATACTCTGTTTACACTGATGATGGAATTAACATTCCGAAAACGTTCTTTAATGTAATTGTGATAGCCCGTTTGGACATTTTATTATATACCTTTTATAAAGGATATGAAATAACATTTTTTGTGATATATGGTATACAGCTAGCTACAGGAACTTAGTTTCCTAGTGGATTTTGAAGAATTTTATTTCATCTTTCCTTAAATCTTCAAAGATTGTGACAAACATCCCAACATCGTATCTTTTTGCCTTAATAGGATGAATCCAATGAATTCGGTCCCTCTTATTTCTATTTTTTCGACGGTAGAGTAACCACCCGCTATAATTTGATTTCGCTCCAAATCTACACAACACCTTTTATTTTACGAAATTATCGTAAAATTATATATAGTGTTATAAGGTAAACGACTCGTTCTGAACGTGAGTCAAAAATTACCGAACGTTCAAATTCTTAGAGTGTGAAAGGAGCGTACAAGTTATGACGTGCCATTAATAGTGAAATACGTATTAACCTTCGGAGTACGGAGATTATTTGACTTACTTAGATTACGAAGATGGGTCAAGCGTGACCCATTCTCATTCTATTTATAAGGATGTTTTAAATAGTCAGTATTATTAAACAGTATCTTTAATTCAACAAAAAAAAAAACAAAGAAGCATAAAAATTATGATCCCAAATTTTTGTATTTAAATTTTTTAAGATGGTTTACCATCGTGGTCTTTTTGGCAGTAGTTGCATTTAATTTTAACAATATGGACTTCTTCTCGTTTTGAATGAGTATTACAAACAAATATTTTACACATTATTTGTCACTACCCCTACAAGAATAACAACGACCTCGTTTTGTTGCAGATTTCGGCACTTTGATTTGCTTTTTTACACTAACACCGGTGGTCTCTATTGCAGCGATTACGGATTTAGGGTATCCGGTGGGTTCTTCTTGTATTGCTTCCGCTCTTTGTTTTATATTGGGCGAGGTTAATTTATTGTCCAAGCTCCTCTAGAAATAGTTTTCTGCGATGTTTTATATTTACTTAGCTGTTCCATCCGGGATTTTTCGTATTCCAGAGAACGAAAGCATTGTAGCACGCAATATCCAAGAAGTTGAAAAATATACGTAAGGGCCATCTTCTTGTTGCTCTTTTACATGTGTACTCTCTGATCAATTTATCTAAAATATCGACTCCACTTTTGGTTTTGTTGTAATCCAAAATAATCTTTGGTTTAAATTTTTGGTTTTCATGAGAAATTCCCATGTTCATTGTGTAAGGTCGATAATGATACATACAACTTATTAGGCTTGGTTACATATGAAACTAAGGTATACTCCATTCCACGAATATACGACTGTTTTAAATTCGCTTTAAGGTGTCGACTTAAGTGGTCCAATGTGCTGAATTGTACAATGGTAAATTCTCCCCATTTTTAAAATACTGTTAAGACAGATATACCACCTTAGATTTAAATATGAAGTCTCTCTCATTGAATTTAGTATTGTAAACAAGTTGGTTTTTGAATTAAGTGATTTAAACGAAGTGTAACAATACTTAAGTGATTAAATAGTTTAATTTATTTTAGTCGAATATTCAATTAGTATTAAAAAATCAAAAAAACTTACTCTTACTCTTATTCTCCTAATCGCCATTACAAACAAATACACTACACTAAACTCTCTCTTAACGGACACGTCTCTTCACCGGACACCTCTATACGGACTGTTTTTAAAACTAAAATCAGTCGGCGATTTATGAAACTGTATGTAAATTTTCGTTACTTTTTAATATCTGTAATGACTCGGTACTTTAACTATCCATAGCCGCCATGTTATACCCGTTACTTTCGGAACTTTTTAAGAGTATATCCACTCAAAGCAAACAAAAAACTAACAAAGTGGAATACTAGATTCTTTTCCTGGTTTCTAAACCATCGTTCTGCCAATTTCTTTTTATTTATATTAAAAAATGTATTTCTTTTTATTACCGTTGTAGTACCTACGTAATAAAGTAATAAAAATACCCGGCGCGCCTCTTTGGTGTTTACATTTCACCGAAATCCAACCCAAATGGCTGATGAAACACATTCTAACTTCACAGAGGTCATTGTATTTACCTATTTTTAGGAGCGTTTACGTAAATTTTTTTGTTATTTTTGGATTAATTTTCACAATAAATTTTGCGACTATCTGAACATCTACTAACTGAAATAATTTTAGTTTATAATATGTAATAGTAACGGAAGATCCTTTTTTTATGGAATAATAATTAGACCAATTTACTTTCATACTTCTAATTGTACAGTAAAATATTCGTTGTAGCAATAATTCCAAACAGTCGTATATTCGTGGAATAACCTAGAATGTTTTTAGTGAACAAAAATTTTGAAGAATACAGTGAGCGATCTGTCATTTTAAGCAATGATTTGGGTAAACTCTTTCTATTTTTTCTGATAGTACCCAAAATAGTTAAATTTTTGGTTAACAGTTCTTCAGATAAAGCAATATCGATAAAAAAAAATATCAGTTGTAATATTTCGACCAGACCTATACCAATGTTCTGCAAGTGTTTTGACAACTCTTGGGCGTTGGTTACGTTCAGATTGATTACCAATATTTCCAATATATATCTCACAGTTACAGCAATAAAAATTTTCAGCGTCACATAGGGTCCAAGCCTTTATACCGTATTTTTTTGGTTTACTTGGTATATAAATCAGAAATGGACACCGTCCCCTAAAATCTATAAGCTGCTCGTCAATAGTACTAAAAGTAGATGGTTCGTATGATTCCCTACAATTTTGGGCAAATAGATCAGCGATTTCTCGAATAGGAGCTAATTTATCTCGTTCTCTTCTTTCTGCTCTCGTTTCCAAATTATCAAAGCGAATATGCTTCAAAATACTTATAAATCTATCCCGGCTTAGAGATGCTTTATATATAGGATGCGTAAATGCATTATTTGTATTGGACCATAAATTATGCACCTTTTCATGGGACTCTCTGAACCTTCCACATAATATAAGTATACCAAAAAAAGCACGCAGTTCGACTAGATAAACTTCAATCCAATCCTTCATTTTTTTCTCGTTTTTACTGTTATACGCAGCTATTAACTCAATAGCTCTCTTATTGGCATACGAAAGAATCATTGACATTATACTATCAGAAAAAAATAAATTGAAGGCATCCATGCATATCTCAATATTTTGACTTTTCTTAGTTAGACCTACGTTTTTCTGTAATAAATTACATGCCAATGTCTTACCCTTTTTTGGAGCTAAATAACGCCATGTTCGTCCTTTGCACAAAACATCAGATAAGCTAGATCTTTCACTATCTATATTTTCAGAAGTTGTCGCTAAAACTTCCTCATTCTCGAGTTAGTAATTGATAAATTACCTTCATGTGCTTCTGGCTCACAACTGTCATTATCACTCGCTTCACTATTGCTTTCATCCAGCTCTCATTCAAATAAGTGAATTTCGGGTCACGCTTGACCCAGTCTTTGTACTCCGAAGGTTAACGGAGTATCCCAAAATATACTGCTGAACGACTAACTAATAAAATTCCATCAGTTGTAAGAGATATTTGTAGTGAGTGTGCCAGTGAAAATATTCTGAAATTTTTAAAAGACTGTAACATATTGAACCACATAAAAGTATGTTATTTATTTGGTATTTGTAATCAGTATTGTTATATTAAATCCATCCGCTAATAACCAATATGGTTAATGCGGCTGCCTTTAAATAAGAAAAATTACAAAATATCAACTAACCATCTTATATTAAATGATGTAGTATGTTACGAATTATATACTAAAATAAAGAATTATTTCAATTACAAATTACAAAAGGCACTGAAGATGATCTGTATAGATCAAAAACGTTATGCCAGAATTTTAAATGTTGACGACACTTTTTTTAAAAAGTTTTTAAGCACTTGTATGTTTTTATACCAAAATACACAATTGTGAAGTGTTTTAACTTCTTTGTTAATTATATATTACTTTTTACCTTTCGGTGTGCCTCTAGTATACATCATTCCGTTAATGACACTGCATCCACCAAGGACTTTACCCCTAGGCCAACTGCATCTTTTTTCAGGGTATCCTTGACATGCCACTTTTTCCGGTTCGGTTTTGTATTTCCAATCAACGTACTTATTTCCATGGTAACTCACTACCATTGATGGAACCTATAAACAAACGTAGTATATGAGAAAAATATATGATCATGGTCAAGGTTTTTTCATTCACGTTTTTGTGAATCCGTCTTCTTCATTTTTTATTCGACCGATTGAGATTTACTGACTGTAACAACGTAATTATGTAAATTCCCAATCAAGATTTCCAGTTGCATAATTTAAAAACGTACGTTATTTTATACGTTTATAGTATTTTACGAAATAATTAAAATTGTTAATTAAAAATTTATTAGTTTTTTCGGCTTTTATTATATTTGATTATATTAGTGGGATTGATATATACTAATGTCAAGACTAGTAAAAAATAAACATTTATTTACGGCAAAAATAAATTAATCACATTTCACAATAAATAAAAAAATTTGACTTAGCAAAAACAATTAACTCGCATATATTATCATCTAATAATTGAAATGGAAATACCAAAACAGTATTTTTTTTATAAAAAAAATACTGAAGTATTTATCATTTTAAATGAAGAATTTTGGATTCAACGATTTGTTTAGTCTTTATAAGGTCGATATTATTCTGCACAAGGAATTTTATAAACTATGAATTGTTCATTTGGAATGTTGTCTGTGATTGATCGAACAAGGTATACAAGTTTTTGCAGGGGGGCAAATACTGTCTTTATTTCTCTTGATTTGAGAATTTTTATCGATATGGTCAGTGACTCCTTTCATGTAAGAAAGAAAAGCTTTCGTACGATGAGGGTCTGAGTCTTTGAGTTATGATTGAGTAGGAGACTGATGGCTGAGGCTAACCTATGCAAAACAAAAATTTAACGGCCCCTAGTCCGCGGCAGACCTTAAGTGGTCAGGGGGTGCAAATAATCCCCGCGAGGAGGAACCACCCGAAAGTGGAATACATTAATAACCAATCCTTGGTACGAGTAGGCACTTGGAACGTACAAAGTATGTTTGAACCCGGTAAAGTTCAAAATACCATTCGTGAAATGAAAAGACTTGGAGTGGACATACTAGGTATAAGTGAGATGAGATGGTTTGGTTCTGGAAATGTATCCATCGATGACTACACAATATACTACTCGGGGAACGAACAGCAGAGACACTGGAATGGTGTAGGCCTTATAGTAACAGAGCAGATAAAAAAGCAGTAATTGATTTCATACCCTATTCTGATCGAATGCTTCTTTTGAAATTACAGAGTAAGCCCGTAAACATAAACATACTCCAAGTTTATGCACCAACTGCTGACAAGTCGGATGATGAAATAGAGCAGTTCTATGAGAATCTCCAAGAATTACCTAAAATGACAAAGAGTTATGAAACAACATTAATCGTAGGAGATTTTAATGCCAAAGTGGGTTGTGGAAAAGTGGAACATATTTGTGGAAATTACGGACTCGGCAATCGCAATGATAGAGGTGACAGACTACTACAATTTTGCCAGGAGAAACAACAACTATCATGAACACCTGGTTCAAGCTACCACTACGGAGGCTATATACGTGGAAATCACCCGCAGATAATAAAAACAATTGTGTCCGAAAAGCAAATCGATTACATTAATATAAACCAACGATATAAAAATGCAGTAACGGATACAAGAACATATCCAGGCGCAGATGTTCCATCGGATCACAACCTATTAGTGGCTAAATTAAAAATAAAGTTCAAAATGCTAAAAAAGACTGTCAAAAGAAAAACCGACATCAATTTACTTAAACAGAAAATATACAAAGTATGGTAAAGACTAAACTCAACGAGGAGTGTGAAAGACTCCAAAGAGAGTTATCACCAACTACAGAAGGCTTATGGACTGAAGTCAAGAATGCTTTTACTTAGCGCCGAGAAATATATAAAAGACACCAATAACAAAAGAAAATCTAAACCCTGGATGACACAAAAAATTCTGGGAATGATGGATACTCGAAGAGCCTACAAAAATAAAAATAATGAAAAATATAGGGAGATACATCGTCAAATCAAGAAAGAAATAAACTACCGCAAAAGAAAATTGGATGATAGAAAACTGCCAAGAGATCGAAGAATTAATAAAGAAACACGACAGTCAAACGCTTCACAAAAAAATAAAAGATCTAGCTGGAATGACAAAACAAAGACTCCCTTGTAGATTAATAAACGACGAGAATGAAACGATATAGGAATTAAGCGATCTAAACAACGTATGGGGACATTACATAGAATAACTATTCTCGGACACACCACTAAACAACATAATATATAAAAACCATGAAACCAGTCCTCCTATATTAAAACAAGAAGTAGAGAGAGCAATCAAAAACGCAAACAATGGGAAAGCCCCTGGCACCCGATGACATACATACGGAAGTCATAAAGCTACTGGAAGAGAAACATTTAAATATAATCGTCAAATTATTTAATCAAATATATACAAGCGTGTGAAATTCCACAAGACTGGTTAAAATCAGTCTTTATTCCCCTTCCAAAAACTAAGGGAGCAAAGAAGTGTGGTGATTTCAGACTTATTAGTTTAATGTCGCATATGTTAAAGTTATTCTTGAAAGTTATTCACCAACGCATTTAAGAAATGTGAACAGGATATCAGTGATGAACAATTTGGCTTCCGAAATGGATTTGGGACACGAGAAGCATTAACCAGTTTTATTATACTGCTGCAAAAATGTCCGAGACCAAAAAAAGGATCTCTTTTTATCTTTTATTGACTATCAAAAGGCCTTCGACAAAGTAAAACATGATAAGCTGATGGATTGCCTTCACAAAAAGGGACTAGACAAGAACGATTTTAAAATTATCCAAACGCTGTATTTTAACCAAACTGCAGCAGTTAGAACAGAAGCCGGTGACACAGAAATATTCAATATCAAGCGAGGTGTACGACAGGGGTGTGTATTGTCACACTACTTTTCAATATATATTCGGAAGAAATCTTTGCACGAGCACTAGAGCAATCAAGAGAAGGTGTTAAAATTAACGGCAGAGTTATAAATAATGTACGATACGCCGACGACACGGTCCTAATTGCAGAGAGCGCACAAGATTTCCAGACACTCTTAGATCGCGTCAGATCGATCGGAGAACAATACGGCCTCAGCATTAACGTCAAGAAAACAAAAACAATGATTGTCTCCAAAACATCCATCCATCCACCCATGGCTTTAAACGTGAATGGTAACATTATCGAAAATGTCGAGAAATTCCGATATCTAGGGTGCTGGATAACGAAAGATATAGATCCAGACATAGAAATAAAATCGCGAATTGAACAAGCAAGAAATGTCTTTTTAAAAATGAAACAAATGTTTACGTCCCAAACACTCAATCTCAAAATCCGATACCGAATGCTGAACTGTTACGTTTCCAGCACCTTACTATATGGAATGGAGGCCTGGACCTTCAAAATCAACTCAGGCGTTTGGAAAGTTTTGAAATGTGGTTATTTTGAAGGATGCTGAAAGTCCCCTGGACAGCTCATATGAGCAACGAGCAGGTCCTACACAAGATGGGTACCGACAGAGAACTCTTAAAAATAATGAAAACACGGAAAACCTCATATTTGGGACACATATACAGAAATGAGAAATACCAGCTACTGCAGCTTCTTATAGAGGGGAAGGTAGACGGAAAACGTGGTCCTGGTAGACGGCAGGCGTCCTGGTTGAAGAACATTCGTGAGTGGACTGGTTTGGATTCTCAATCTTTAATAAGAAAAGCCAGGGACAGAAATGATTTTGCTGAGGTTATCGCCAACCTTCATTGAAGACGACACCCAAAGAAGAAGGAGGCTGATATCGGTGGATTTTCCTATTATTGTGATTTTCATGGTAACCTTTTGGATAAGGGCTTGTTTTAAACTAGAGAACTCAGAGAATGTACTTGCATTATCACAGTGTTAATTTGGAGACAAGGGTATAATAACTGATTTAATTTTTAAAGGTAGATAATAAGAGTTTACATGCAAGTAACGATTGTTATGTGTAAATTTGAGTGATGAAAACCTTGAGATTGGTTTTTATTTATGATAAAGCCGAGACGCGGTAAGGATGAATTACTTTCCACCTCCATCGTGAACTGGATACTAGTATGTATACCATAGTATGGGATTGAAAAGACACCAGTGAAAAATGATGACTTGGCAAACTTACTTTGCACAACAATTATACAAAAACGAAGAATGAAAGAAACAATTTATAAAATTAAAAATAATGACATAGTAATAAAATATAAATATAAAGAGATTTAAAAACAATAGGAGCTCAAGAATATCCAAAATATGTGCAAAAATGATAAAAACAGAGGGAAACAGCCACACACAGGGATACGTGAAATAAGGATAACTTTTAGTATGAGCAATATCTTAAACTTTATTCTGAGGTATTTTACTAAAATATTTACACAAAAATATCTCATGAGAATGTTTGTTTTTTGAACGAACTTACACTTTGTGCCTTAACAAACAAGTACTTTATTATCAATTAAAAAATAACATTTTTAAATAGAATATGACAAAAATGACAAAAAAGATTTGAACTTAAATAGAGCTAATAGATGATTTTAAAAATAATATTTTTAACTTATGTTTTTGAGCCTTGAAAAAAGTTATCTTTTGTTGTTTATTTTTTAGTTTTAAATTCTTTATAACTCGAAAACAATGAAATTTGGAAGAAAATTGCTAGAGACCGTTTCAATTTAGAAGAATACAACAATCATAAACGTTCTTAACTTCTGAGCCAAAAAAGTAGATTTTTATAGTTTATTAAAAAATATGTTTCGATAAAATTTGGATTACTGTTTCATATGCAATTTCTAGAAACATATTTAAAGGATCTCGCGGATGAAATTATAAAAAAATATTTTATGAGACTATTTTTTCAAACCAGCTTGAGCTTTTTCCTTATCTAAATATACACTTTTATAATGTGTCATATAATTTGAATACTAATGAAATGAAACGAATCTGGTTTTTCCAAGAGAGTAGAGTGAAGATTAACGAGAATAGAATAAATGATTGATGCCAAACACATCAATCTTTAATAATGACGTCAGCTGAGTTTTAAATTATTAAAATAAATTTGACATTATATGCAAAACAGTGGCAGGTGGATGACCCGATTTTGCACTAAAACGAGTTTAAGGAATAGAAACAATATGGAAATGAAATATCCAAATGTTCTAAAACCATAATACGTTTGTAACCTTAACTGTCTTTTCTCTTAAAAAAAAAGTTTTTTAAGAAGAAGTATGCAGTTGAAATAAATCAGACAGACTGAAATGATTTAAAATAGCTAACATTATCAATAGCTTACCGAATGTAAGGAATATTGTTATAAATTGTTTTAATGAAATTAATTTATTTTAGAACACATTAACACTAGTGGAAAGAGCATTTTCAGGAGATGCTAGGCACGCCCAGGATAACGCAGATGAAATTCTCGAAAATCCACAGAATATAGACTTGCGTATATCTTGCGACGCCCCTTCCAAAACAGAGATAATAACAACTATCAAATCTCTGAAAAATAACAAGTCTCCGGGAATCGATAACATTGCTGCCGAAATACTTAAAACTGATCCGCATCTAACTGCTGAACTTTTGCTCCCCATAATTCGAGGGGTGTGGAAACAAACCGCATTCCAGCGGGCTGGAAAAAAGGCATCATTACTAAGCTTCCAAAAAAGGGCAACCTCACACTATGCAAAAATTGGAGAGGAATAACCTTGCTTACCGCCATAAATAAAATCTTCACGACCATCATACTTAAAAGATTAACAAACAAGGTTGAATTTCGAGCTAATCAAGTAGGCTTTAGACCAGAATCCTCCTGCATAGACCACATTAATACTGTGAGGCTAATAATGGAACAATCGGTTGAATGGAACGCACCCCTATACATGGTTTTTGTTGATTTCGAGCGTGCTTTTGACAGCTTATCTCATGATGCGATATGGAAAATTTTAGAGCTAAGAAACATCCCGCATAAAATAATTTCCATTATAAAGTTACTGTACACTGAAGCGAAATGCAGCGTGACACACAATGGGATCAACAGTGACGAATTTGACGTACTTACTGGAGTCAGACAGGGATGCGTGCTTTCTCCGTTTCTTTTTAACATAGCTCTAGACTATGTTCTCTCCAAACTAGACTCTGGCACAAGAGGGATACAATGGACGCTAACCACACGCCTAAGCGATCTAGAATACGCCGACGATATCTGCCTGTTAGGACAAAGGTTCCAAGATGTGGCTGACCAATTGGAAACACTTTCCACTGAAGCCAATAAAATAGGTTTGAAAATCAATATTGGTAAAACCAAATCCATGAGAATAAATGCAAGAAACAACACGCTATTCACCATTAATAACATGCAGATTGAAAATGTGGAAAACTTTACGTATCTTGGAAGTGTCATAACAGAAAACGGAGGTACAGAAGACAATATTCGTATGAGGATACGAAAAGCGCAACAAGCTTTCAGCATGCTCAACCCTGTTTGGAGGTCTGGAGAATACACTACGAGGACAAAGATCCGCATATTCCAGTCAAATGTCATGTCTGTACTACTTTACAGATGTGAAACCTGGAAAGCGACAAAAACCCTTACAGACAAACTGGAGGTCTTTCTTAATAAATGTCTACGAAGAATTGTTCGTATTTTCTGGCCTAACATCATCATAAACGAAGATTTACTACACCTGACCAAATAAAAGAGGGTAGTAAATGAAATAAAGTCCAGAAAGTGGGGTTGGATCGGTCACACACTCCGAAAAAATAACTCCAGTATTGCAAAGACTGCCCTAGAGTGGAATCCCCAAGGAAAACGAAAAAAAGGTCGCCCAGTACAAACTTGGAGAAGATTCATCATGGACGAGATAAGAAAACAAGGAAAGTCTTGGAATGAGGTGAAGGCCTTAGCGCAAAATAGAACCCGATGGCGCGTTTTCACTGAAGCTCTATGCTCCACTTAGGAGTTCAAGAACCTTATATATATATATAACACTAGTGCATACGCTTTAGGTTGAAAATATACTAACTAAAAAGTTATGTAAAAAATTTTAAAATTAAATATGACAAATTACTATGACACAAACTTGTTCACCTATACCATACTCATCGTTGTCACACGATTGTCACTCGATGTCACATCGAGCGTCATAGATGGAAGATGGTTCTTGATAACTAGTCTACTCCTTACCACCAAGTGGTGGTGGTCTGGTGGTTACAAGAGTAACCACCAGATGTAATGAAAATGTTACACAGTGATTGCCTTAACTTTCTGACCAACGGCTTTGCGTGGATGAGTTGATATATGTAGTATGGCCCTTTTTCATTTTAAGTTTGCGAAAATTATCTTGAAGGAAAATGAACTGAAGTAAACAACAAAAGAATGCAGAAGGCAACAGAAAACAACTGCATTAAATACTCGTAGAGCACCCCTAATAGAGGCATGAATGGCAAATGACAAATAAAGTAAATAAATTCACTGACTGCGAACCGCGAAATTCAAAGAAAAATGAATTGTAAAAGAACTGTATGATTTGTACACACTGCTAAAATATGAATCAAACTGGGAACAGGTGTACGTTTTCAAAAACATGTAAAATTTTTATTAAAATTAGCTAAGTACTTTCAACATGTCACATGTCATTTTCAGAGCTTCTTACAAAAAACAATTTTTATGAGTTTTTTATTATTACATAGCGAGTGTGTACCTACATAATGTCCTATATGATATTGGACAACTTTTCAGGAGAGAAAAATGAAAAATAATAAAGTCATGGTATATTTTTTTCACATAGTTTCACACATTTTTTAGTTTATGAATGATAAATTAGTTTAGACAGCAATTACATTGTAACGCAGAAAATCACGGCGACATTAGATCTAAAATAGAGCAGGCTAGAGCTGCTTTTAGAAGGACGTCCAAGGTGTTATGTAACAGAGACCTAAAATTGGCATTGAAGATCCGCCTAATTCGCTCTTAAGTGTTCTCGGTCTTACTTTATGGGGTCGAGTCCTGGACTATGAATAAAATCGAACTAAATTGCCTTAAGGCTTTCGAAATGTGGTGCTATAGAAGAATTTTAAAAGTTTCCTAGGTGAAGAAAATTCGAAACTCTGCAATACCAGAACGTATCAGCAAGACTACTGAGATCATAAAAAGCATCAAGCAGAGAAACTTGGAGTATTTCGGACATGTAATAAAAGGTCCCAAATATAGGTTACTGCAAAATATCATGCAAGGAAAAATACCATTCAAACGCAGTCCAGGACGAAGAAGAACGTCATGGTTAAAGAACTTGCGAGATTGGTATGGTGTTGATACAAGCATGCTATTTAGGGTGGCAGTAAATTAAATTAAGATAGCTATGATGGTAACCAACGTTCTGAAAGGAACATGGTACATAAAGAAGAAGCTTGTATTACTGTCTTTAACTCTTGGAGATGTAGCCATTTTGATTTTGAAATTTTTTAGTGTTCAGTGAATAAAGGTGGACATGTATTAAAGGTTTTTTATTCCATAATGTAAGTAGGTCTAAACATCATGAGTGACCATAATGAATTCTACAGTTGGACGAAGACATGGAGCCGTAGTATGGACATCATTCAATGAAGCAGTTTATTTAAGGAAAACCCATTCGTTACATCCGTTACAAATATAAATTCTGGTGCGTTGCGACCAATAAAGGTTACCTTGCAAAATTTTATCCCTATACTGGAAGTTTTCTTCTTCTTCTTTTTCTGAAGAAAAAGAAAATCAAGAAGGTACTGGAAGTGGAGATAAATTACAGGGTAACGCAGTAGGAAGTTCTGTAACCTAAAAGCTTTGTATAGGGTTTTTACCACAAGAATCTGTTATCTATATTGATAATTTTTAACATACTTACCTTTACTTACAAGGTTAAGAGATAAAAAGATACACTGTGTCAGCACAATTAAAAAAGATAGGAAAAAAACTCGTGAAACTTCCCAGGCTCTACATAGTGAAGAACATCAGCTCACTCTTGTTCGCTGGAATGATAATAATGAAGCTAATATGGCAACCAATATTTCAACTCCAAAAATATCTACTATAGGAAACAGATGATGCAAAAAATTATAGCGGTCCCTTAACCGAACGTTGTGCAAATGCATAAAAAGAAAAAGTGTGGTGTAGCCTTATTTTATATGCTAAGAGGTTTGATTAGCATTTGAGTTCAATCTAAAAAATGGTATTAATTGGGCGATATTTAGATTTTGCTGTAATGGGGCAATAGTCAATATGTGGCTTCTTTACTGCAATATTTGGGCAACTTTTTATTAGAATTTTACAGACGAATTGTGGATGCTCTGCTGAGAGCTCCAGATATTCCAAGCCACATGGTGTACGTCCAAAATCTTCAAACATGTTCCTGACGAAAGTCCTTTGGATAATGTGGGTTGTTTGGAAAATTAAAAAACAACGAAGGTGTGGCAAATATGGTAAGTCTACCAAATATGAATGTATTAAATACAATGTAGGACTAATCAGGGATATAATATTTTATGAAATACTTTGTCCTCCATTGCCTAGTGTATCATACATCATACGTGAAAAAAAAAGACAATTACAAAAAAAATTAACGGCATTAATGAGTTAAGTGTGATATTTATAATCAAATGTTATATATTATTGATATTACACTTATATTATTGTTTTAAATGATATTTTAACAATTAAGATTAAATAAACAATTTTGGCATTTTAACTTTTAGACAGTTCAACGCCATAGCTCTCATTGCTGAACATATATACATATTTGATCACTAAATATATTTTGTTAGTATGGTATATAGCTTTTTAACAAATAGTAAAAAGTGAGTTTTTCAAAAAAATGAACTACTATCAGCACAACGAAGAATTTTTGTTAGAAATGCTAGTTAATTTATTTTTTTAGCAAAATTCAAACATAATACTACTTGATATTTGTCTTACCTGTGACCCTGGCGGTTCGTCATTTCCAGCCTCTATTAACAGCACTTTCCAACCCGGTACCTCTGCCAATTTTCCCGCAGCAGTAGCACCGCCACTACCGCCTCCGATCACTACAAAATCGTACTCAGGATCTGGCCTTCTGCGGGGAATTACTCTTTCACATGCTTCTGATATATCGCAAGCATTTCTTATAAAAGTGTCTAGTAGGGTCATAAATAGGAATATCGAACCTCCGCATGTTTGGTCCAACGATGGCCCCAAAAAGTTGTTCGCACAGCCACATTCCATTTTCCGCTGGCAATATTTACAAACTGATAGTGGATAGCGGTCGGTTAAGGAATATAAGTATCTTCGCGATTATAGTGCGGTAAAATATTATCAAAGTGTTGAGGTCAAGGCGAAAACAAGAATCGGGTTATAATTTTTGATATTTTCGGGAAGTACGTTCCGTTGAAATTGTGTTGTAATATAAAATTTAATACAAACAGAAAAATTCATTAGAAATTAATTTTTGCGGGTGTTATAATAATAGTTTTGTTATATTATTTTTAAATGAAGAATTTTAATTGAAAAAAGCAATAAAAGAAATGAAAAAGGCAATTTAGAATAATATTAAATTGGTTATTATTATACGTCAGGAGGAGTAATTTCAGTATGTGAACTCAAGGTTTAGAATCTTCTTTTTGCCAATAATACGTTGTTCATAGCCCAAAATGAGCAAGTGTTGGCGTTGATACACAAGCAACTAACAAGAAATAGCATCAAATATAGACTATGAATTATTAACAATGTCCATCGTCACGAATATATAGAAAAATGTGTGCCTGACACCTGTATCGCTAAAAAAACTATGAATTAAGGATGTGGTGTTCTAAATGATAATAAATATTCAAAAAGCATGCACTTTAAAACATTCATAAGACTCAGAGTACAAAAACATGCATTTAAAGAGACAAAACCAATCATTTACGAGCAGAAATAAAGAAGGCTCTCAACCAAATAAGAAACAAAAAAAACCATGAGATAGATGACATACCATCAGAGACATAACATATATGTAATAATGGATATGTGCAACATGAGTGTGAATGCCCTCAAATGTAAATGCCCTCATGAGTGATCTAAATCAACACCATATGTAGCAACTACAGAACCATTGCTTTTATTTCCCATGCAACGAAAATTCTGCTTCTTATAACCAATAAACAGCTAAAGAATTTTTACTTCCAGAAATAGCTAAAGAAAAATGCAGATGCGTATAAAGAAAAGGAATGCAAGATGTTGAACTCCAGCCAGTTAATAGAAAAAAACGAAAACACATAATATACTAATGCTGCTCTGTTTTGTATATTATATAGAGCTTTCGATTTAGTCAAATGGGATTTCCTCTGAAGTATATTAGAAATATTGGAGTGCCTAACAGAAAAGGACCGATGCCTGAAAGCCTATAATGATCTCATTAAAGGATAAAGATGGAAAAGAAATAAGAGAAAAAACGAGATCGTAAAAGTAACTCAAACATTTTACCATGACTTATATTTCACAAACAAGAACTTAAATAACACTACAAATGAAGATCTTAAGAGAAAGATAATGAATGTTAACTTGGAAATACTAACATAGAATCGTTCGAAATAAAACAAGCTATGGCACAACTAAAGAACAATAAGACTCCGGGCCCAGATAGTGTCAAAATGTTGCAGAAGGGGAGTGAAATTATTCTCAAAGAATTGAAAAATTTTTTCTACGAATGTCTTAACAGAGGAGAAGTCCCAGATGATTGGAATAAAAGTTGGACAATACATTTCTTTAAAAAGGATGACAGGGGAGATCTGAATAACTATAGGCCAATCTCCCTGGTGTCCCAAATGTACAAACTGTTTATAAGAGTAATAACTAACAGGTTAACCTCAAACTTGATAGTTATCAACCGGTAAAGCAGGCAGGATTCCGAAAGGGTTCAAGTACAGCGGATGATCTTCTTACAGTCAGAACGCTAATAGAGAAAGCTAATAAATAACACTTGAACTTATACATTGACTTCGTTGATTGTGAAAAGGCAATCGACTTCATAGAACTTTGGGCAATAGAGAGAGCTATGAACAACTCCAGTATAGACTCAGAATGCTCATATATAATATTTGCAACAAAGCTACAATGAAAATACAAATAGATGCGAAAGCCAAAGTTATACCAATCAACTTAGGAGTTCGGCAGGGAGATGTTATATCACCAAAACTATTCACACTTGGAACGAAAGTCGCGTTCAAAAACATTAACTAAGTAGATAAAGGAATAAATGTTAATGGAAGAAAACTGAGTCATTTAAGATAACTACAGACCATAACGACGCAACTATTTTAAGCTTCGGAAAAAGTAAGTCTTAAGTATGCTTTTCATAGTTTTCCACGTTTTAAAGTCTAGGAACTGACCGGTCCATTTAACCTGGGAAAAAGGAAAATATTTTCCCTCTTGTTTTTATGCAATGTTGTCTGTTGGTGAGGGACCGGTTTAGAGTTACTTCAGGATATATAGGTTGGTTTGTGTATTCTAATGAATTACCATTCCACGCAATTTGGAGTTTTCGCTTGGCTTCCTTTGCGCGAAAGTGGAAAGCGCACACTTGAGTTTCAGGGAATTTTGCAGTTAGTTCGTTGTCATTGTTTTTAAGGCAGTTTCGACTCTCTACTCCACTTCTTCAAAACTATTTCCTTAAGCACATACTGCAAGATCATCAGCATAAATGACGTGCTTGGTTTCGATCGGCGTAGGTTAGTCGTTTATGTATTTATTGAAGAGAATTAGTGCTAAAACACTTCCTTGTGGAAGGCCGTTTTTTTTTAACTCTACACCTACTTACTTTACCCTACAGCATAACGAAAATACTTCTGTTTTGCCGTAAGGATACAACCTTACCCAAATCAAAGAAAAACTTTGAGAAGAAAAATAGACCTCAGGCTGATCAAACAAATTTTAAAAAAAGACCTGGGGGAACACGATTAGACAGCACATGTCTGTACAGGGAACGATCTTATTATAACCCAAAAAGTGGTGTTATCAAGAAATCTAATATTTGTATAAATATAAAATAATCTAATAAATATGATCAATTATATATCATACGTATATAATATGGACATTTCGTATATGTGTACTGTTTTTCGATATATAGAATTAAATTTTTTATTTTCCTGTACTATTTCAGGAACTGTTGTTTGACCAAATTATATTTATCTCAAGTAACCAGAATGACGCAACCGGTGTATTCCGATAAAATTTTGAGGATACATTTAATTCCGTTTTATAAAACCAATTTGTTGATTAATTTATGTTTATTTTACTGAAGTCACGTTTTGTTTGTTATATTTTTTATGCAAGATGCAAGAATTTACATATTGTAAATTCCTTCATTCCAGATAATACATTAAAAATTTTTTGTGTACTTTTTAATTACCAATTTACCATCTTTAAATATTTATAATATTTTAATTAGTGATAGTGTATGTCGTTTTAATTCAACTATATAGTTAGTCAAATTGTGTTATTTGTTTTTATATTTCCTTAAAATATGAATGATTTGAAAATATTTACGGATATTAAAATAGATAAGAAATATATAAATTGACTATAGTAAAAAAAAGTACTTCTGTCTACCTAATTTTTAAATCAAACATCTAGCGAATATTGATACTTTGCCAAGCACTTTAATTCATTTAGCTGAATATAAAAGGCCCGTCAGGCTCAACCAAAGCCTACTAAAACTCCAAAACGTAACTCCGTACATTTTGTTCTGGGCTCCTCTAATCCAACTATGGAAGCACAAACTCCCTTAGATTCTTTTCATTGCTTGAGTCCAGAGTCTCTGGCAAAAATTGTAATCAAAAATTGTACAAATGCTGAAATTTTTGTTAGGGCACAAAAATATAAAGTCGAACATCTTACAAATTTAAAAGTGAATATTGACGAATTGCATGCACTCCTAGGACTACTTATGTTTGCTGCTGCCCAAAAAACAATAACTTAGCAACTAGGCAAATGTTTGATGACAAAATTTCTGGTGCGATATATAAATCAAGTATGGGGCGGGAAAAATTTAAATTTCTTATAGAATATTTAAGTGTTGATGATAAAATGTCTAAACCAGACAGAAAAAAACAGACCTCTTAGCAGCCATTTGTAAACTATGGAATGATCTTATACAGAACTGTAAAACGTCCTATAAGCCCAGATCATACCTAACAATTAATGATCAGCTACTGCCTTTTAGGGGAATTGTAATAATTGAATACAAAATTGTATTTAGGAAAGGATACTATAACCAATTTAGTGCCTATAGGAGAAATTATGTAAAACTATTAACACAGGATGTGTACGGAAGTACATTACTACGGAAGTAGATGTTAACTGTAACATAACCATAGATAACTGATTTATATCAGTAACACAAGATACTAAGTTTAACCTTTGATACTCTACTAATATGGAAACCACACATTACAAACGTCTAGCTAATTGCTTAGCCAGATTAAATCTATTAAAATCTCGAGAAAACGACCATGTGGGAGCTGATAAGGGTACCCTAATTAAGGTATACAGATTTTTGTATACATGTCAGTTAAAAGACATTAAAGGACTCTTGACGTAATTCGGAATATTGCATTACGAATATATCTCGGAGCTTTCAGATCCAGTTCCGCTGAAAGTTTTCGCTGTTGAAAGAGAGACTTTTCTCCTTTCGATTTGCAGATCTAATATGGGCCTCCTCTAAACCATGTTTTTAACCTTCCGTGTCCTTTGCCAAACTTCTTCTGACAGACTTATAATATATTATAATAAACAATTAACAACAATACATACCACTAACAATAAATACCAGTACCCTAAATTTTACTTCCCCTTTCATGACCTGTTGATTTTTTAATAACAAACACTTCTATACTGCCATCAACTCCTTCTTGGGTTAATAATATACCAAAAATTAACCTTTTGCTGAAAAATCATGACAAAAATTAAATTAACAGCCAAAGTTGGCTAACAAACTTATATTATCTACAGAGGCATTTAAAAGCGAGACAGATATCGAATATTTTTTATCAACTTTAAATATTATCATTCAGAAGTTCTGCCCTTTACAATCCACCTTTATCCATACAGGAGAGCTGTACGCTATCCATCCAGCATTAAAAGGGTTATGTAACCACTACAATGTGTACATATTCGATGCCCTCCATTGACTTAATTGAAAATATATATTACTGACATCCATTAGTTCATGCCATACATGAAGCAACAAGCTGCCTCACTTC